AGACCAGTGGAGTATCTTAGATGACTGCTCACAAGCTTTTAAGACCCCAGATGCTAGTGAGGCAGGTTCTTCTGTCTCCATGGTAGATAAGGAGCCAGAGGCACAGAGCAGTTGCATAACAAGGCCACATGGCTGGGGTCCATTGATAGCCTCCCTCAGCACAGCAGCCTGCCTTCCAGATCAGAGGGACTTGTCCCACCTGCTCCTGCCTGCACTCCTCACTCTCAGTCCTCACGGCCCAGGTGGTACCCAGGGTGGGGCACTGCTGGCAGGTGGCAGGGCAGTCTTCCCAAGCTGGTGGACTCCTGCTCTTATTCTGAGGTAGCTCTCAGGGTTGTCAGTAGAGAGGGTGGTAGAAGCCTTAAAGAGAAGCTCCCGGGGACCCATTCAGAGTCAGACTCAACTCTAGCCTCTTGTTTTGCAGAACAGATATAGTGAGGACCTTCCTCAGGGTCCCAGAGCGGTTCGTGGTGGAGCCAGGCCTGGAATCCAGCAGCCCTGGCTTCATGGCCCATGCTGCTTTCATCTTCACGCAGCCTTTCAGGTGGTCCCAGTGTTTGGAGAAGAGACACAGGGAACCTCAGATGCTGACTGGGGTCCCCTGTCAGTATAGGCAGGCTCTCTGGGGAAAGAACCAGCCGGAACTAGTGAGTGAAGTGAGGTTGGGGGGTTGCCCCTTGATTGCAGTTGTCCATGTTATTTCCCCCTCCCAATTAAGTGTCCCTCCGGATTCATTTGTTCACTCCTTCAGCACTGACTGAGCCTCTGCTCTGTGCCAGCCATAGTGTAGGAGACAGGAGTCACCAGGGGCCTAGTTGGTTCCTGTCCTTATTGAGCTTAACACCGTAAGGGTATAAGGTGAGGGCAGGACGGTGAGGTTAATGTGTGAAGCTGCCGGGGTGTAAGACAATAGAGGGTGGCAAGGTCTGTGGCAACGCACGCCCACCTTAAGGACCTTCAAATTAAGCATCACAATAAAACAGTCGCTCTGCTGGCCAAACAAGCATGCCATGGTAGACACTGGGCTCTCAATTGGCAACTCCTGGCATACAGGCTAGTTAGTGGAGCTCCCAGTTTTATGGGTAGACCTATGAAGAAGACAGGGGCCTGACTGATTGGTAGTGCCCTTCCTCAGAAGCAGCTCCTTCTGAGTTGGACATGAGTCAGGCAGCAGCCAGGATGGAGTAGGTACGTCCTAGGGGCCTGCCCTGAGCTGGCCCTCAAAAACACACAAGGAAAGTTACAGGCCTCTTTGGAGTTCCAGGCCAGTCAGGGAGAAGAGATCAACCTAGGCAGTGATCAGAAAGTGACGAGGAACCATAGTGAGACACCACCTCATATCCACTAGGATGGCTGATATCAGCAAAATGGAAAATAACAAGTGTTGGCGAGAGTGTGGAGAAATTGGAGCCCTCATCCATTGCTCATAGGGGTATAACAGCTGTGGAAAATGGTTTTGAGCTTCCTCAAAACGTTAAACGTAGAATCACCATACAATCCAGTCAGACACAAAAGCATAGATATTGTGTGACCCGTTTAATATGAAATATACAGAACAGGCAAATGCATAAGGACAGAAGTTTAGTAGTGGTTACCAGGGGCTGGAGACAGGAGGAGGAAATGAAGAGTTATTGCTTAAAGGGTACTGAATTTCATAAATATAGTCAAGCATTGCTCAACGTCCAGGATACGTTCTGTGAAATAGGACATTATGTGATTGGACATTGTACAAACACCATATCATATACACACAGTGCCCGGGTTATGAATGTCCGACTTACGTACAACCCGTAGTTAAGAACCAGCCCCGGTAAAGGCTATTAAAACCTTATGGGAGGCCGCTTTTGGTCATGCTTGTTGCTGCCGCTGCCGTCGCCGCTACTGCTGCTGCTGCTGAAGCTGCTGGCGGCGGCTGAGAGGACAGTGGTGGGAGCAGAATTTGAGAGGAAGCGAGTGATGAGGGAGTGGAGCACGCCCGGCCCTGGCTGCTGTTCCGCCTGCTTGAGGAGCAGGAGCCCGTGCCCCACAGTCCTTGCTGCCGCCGCTCACCTGAGGAGCAGGAGCCCGGGCCTCGTGGTCCTTGCTGCCACTGCCCGCCTGCCCGCCTGCCCGCCTGCCCGCCTGCCTAGCAGACAAAGCCCGAGAGCCAGTGCCCAGACCCATGTCCTCTGCCTCACCTGCCTATATCCCACTCGTGGTCCAGTGCTGCAAGAGTCAGGGTTTGAGGTCTCTAAAGCCATTCGAGGGAAATAATAAACGAAAGGAGACCAGCTTTCCCTTTTTTTAAAAAGAACAAGATCAACCTTATGGGACCACGGGTGTGTATTCTGTCAGATGTTGCCTGAACAGATGTTATGTGGTGCCTGACTGTAGTGGTGATGGTTGCGCAGTGTGGTGAATGTAGTTAATGTCACTGAATTGGACACTCAAAAGTCGTTAAAATGGCAACTGTGTTGTTACATGTATTTTACCGCAGTGAAAAAAAAAAGTAATGAGGAGCATGCTGGATGGTGCTATCTTCTAGTCCTTTAGAGCAGGAAGAGGGAGGTAGGTGGGCAGAATGCTCCCCTTAGGTCTGGGTTGTCCTCAGGAAGGAGAAAGGAAGGGCAGCGGGCATTTACTGATCACTTGCCACCCATCAACCACCTTCACATCCTTTGTCCCATTGAATCCTCTGAACCCTGCTGCCTGGTGGGCACTGACTGTGTGGACGGATGAAGCAGAGACCCTAGAGGCTGAAGGACCTCACTGTGGTCACACTGGCTGTACCCAGTCTTCTCTTCCTCCACTCTACTCCACGAGATTGCTGGGGCTGCTCTTCAAAGCTGCAGAATCCTAGGACCCTGTCTTAGTTATCTAGTGCTGCCACGATGGGAATAACACAAGTGGGTGGCTCCAACAAACAGGAATTTACTCTCTCACGGTTTAGGAGGGTAG